CAATAAAAACCGTGGTTTCCATGGAGGATATAACCTATGCATTTGAGACACGATGGATAAGGTTATATCCTTTGCCGATCAGGCGAATGGGGTGATTAGATGATTTTTAAATTCAACCATTCCATTTTAACAATTTGCTAATTAAAAACATAATGTCTTCCATCCTTTTATTTCTTTATTAAGAAAATTGAAAACATATTGAGTACATTAGTAATTAGACTTACTGTAGTATAGAGAAAAAAACAATTAATTTTAGGATTGATGAAAATATTCTCAAATATAAAAAATATTTCTTTTTTAATATAAAATCATATAATATACAATATATCACGCGAAATAAAATCTATCAAAATATCACATCTTTTATATTTTTTATCAAGTTTTCTTATCAAAATTCCATTCATCGAAAAATCATCTTCCAAATTTTCCACGTGACTTATTGGCGCGATCAAACGACCTAGCATCGCCCACCGAAAAGTGTTACAACATGCCGGTTACATGTGATTTCGGATAATAGTATCATGTTAATAGGAAACTTGAATTTTCATATGAATAAAAATAAATAGAGTTTAAAAAATATTATAATTCTTAATCTTTGATCCACAATTGAGTATTTAAATGAATTGTATGGTTTATTTTGAAGCCCTTTCATTATCATAAAGTCATAAAATTTGTAATTTGTTATATAGATTCGTTCAATGAAAATTATTATTTAAGTAAATCGCTTATATCATAATTGATGACAATTACATTAATATCGAAAAATCATCATTTTTGTCGTCTAACATATTTGAATAAATTATTGCGTCTAAAGCGATCACATATAACTCTTAATGCAATAATAAATAAAGGTTATTATAATAATTGTACTTAAAGTAGAAAATCAAATAAAATATTCTAAATTCAAAATAAATTAATTTTAAACATACCTTACAGTATTTATATTATAAATCAGAAACTGAGATACATTTAATTGCAAAATGAAAATCTTTTATTGAATTTGCCTTCATAAACCATAATACATAAAATGTATAATTAATACTAAAACGAGTAATTACACGCCTATGTCTTTAATTACTCCTTCAATTTTATATTTACTGATAAGATTCATATATAAACCATTTTTATGATAAAAATAATAATCATCGAAATGTATGGACACTGCAGGTCGTCCTTTCCACTTTTCAAAGAATGTCTCAAAAGCTTTTAAAGAAAATCTAATGTCATAAGAAATTCTAATTACTCTTAAATTAATTGATGCTTCTTTAACTAACGAATTTGACAAATAATCTCCATATTCTAACTCTCTCGCTTTATAATATGTATCCTTAAAATATAATGATCGCAAATTTTGACATCTTTTAAGTAATTTTTCAAATTCGATAAAATGATTCTCCAATAATGGAAATATAGGGATTGATAAACATTCAATTAAAAAACAATTTTCATAAATTGTACGTATAAAATTAATAGAGTCATCATTAAAACTATCTTCATCCCAATGATAATCGTTGATTAATAATTCTTTAAGATATAAGCTATTTTTAATTATGTAATTAACTTGATAAATTTCTATAAAATCTATCTTTAGGATCTCAAGATCACGATAAGCCACCTTTTCTAATTTTTCATTAAAATCATTATTCTTTAAAAATATTGGAGAATTAATATCCAATATTTTTAAATTATGAAGTTCTCAGAGTGTATATTGTAGAAATGTATAATCAAAATCATCGTAAATATCATAGAAATTAATGTGACGACCGCAATAATATTGAAGCTTTACTTCAAAATGATTAAGGGTATTTGCATGTTTTTTTAATATATTAAAAATGTCTTTATAAGGGTCTTCCAATAGTAGTTCTGATAAATATTCTTCATCTTTCCATTTAAAATATTTTAAATTTTTTTGAAGTTCTATTAACTTAATAGTTCCATAATTAGCTTTTAAGTTTTTATTAATAATGATGATTCTTTGTATTTGTTGACAGATATGTGCTAATCTGTAAAAGTACCTAGGATCAATCAATGTATCACAAGTTAATTCACAAAGTGATTCAAGACGGAACTTTGCTTCCGGAAGATATACTATCTCATAGGTACCACGTATGTTCAAATACTTTATTTCTGGACATTTCTTTATAAATAAACTGTAAATTTCCTCTTGTAAAAGAAATTGATCATATTCTGATGATGATCCAATGGAAATGATAACGTCTATAATTTTTGTATCAATACTTCTACAGAAAGACAAATAATCAAATGCAAGTGATTGGTTTGAAATTAGAATTTCTTTTTTTGTTAAGGATTCTATAATATCATTGGATAAATAAGAAGTAATAATGGAGTATAAAGAATTTTTATTACAATAATTAATAGAATAGCACCAAGGATTCTTCCATAAAATTGGAATCATGGTTTCACACCAAATTCTATTAACCATTAGACATGAAAAGAGAAATTTTGAATTTTTTGAATTATTTTGTAATTTCTCAAATATTAAGAAAAGAATATCTTTATTAAATTTAGACATTTTTTTTTTTTGAAGAAAAGGAATAAATAATAGGATAAAAAGAACAAATAAATAAAATCAATATTATATGAAACTCCGATGTACTGTACAACCATGATGCTGATTGATAATGTTTCACCAAAATATATATGGTAAATACCTACACTGGGGGACGCGTTTGATTGTGACTTTGAACCAGAAATATCTCTTGGCTTCAATACACCAAAGGTGGTTGGGATTCATGTAAGGAGTCAACCTTCTGCACCTAAGTTAGACGCGAGTTATTTAGATCTCAATATTTACAAAAAGTTATATATTAATAATAATTTTCTTGGATGATATCCTTCAAACTATTTTAATCACACAATTGGGTATATACTGTATATTAACCTTAATACAATTACAAGTAACTAAAATAAACATGCACCAATTATGACAATGAGCAGAACGTTACTTTCTTTGCTCCTGTCACCATCTTAAAGACCTAGTTGTTTCTCTAATAGTATCCACTTATCATCACGTCATTCTTTTCTTCTTCTCATGGGAATTTGATGGTTTTACGATATACGTAATTTTATTTGCTAATGTTACGTCTTAGATCATTGCAGACCAATTCCAATTACCCTAGATGCAAAACATATAGTATAGTTAACATAGTAAATTGGTGGTGTGAGAAAGCTTTGTTGTATAATAATACCAACTTTTCAATCATTTATGAGAAAAAAGTGCACATTTTTGCCAAGCCCTGGTAATGTTGTTGGTCCAAAGTGTAATAATTTTAATTATCAAAAAAGAGTACTACAGAGGGTGGCCAAAATTATCCGGACATTTGTGATTATCTCGTCATCCAGTGATTCAAATTTGATGAGTAAAGACTCATTGGAATTCGTTTCATCAAGAGGAATCGAATGGTGGTCAGCTCGCACTTCTAGCACAATAGGACACGATGTAATTGCAAAAAAGCCCAAAACTTGTTTTTAAATATATCTCCGCATCCATCGAACCTGGAGACATTAACTAGTCGTTATTAGATTTGTCTCAATGAGACAAATCCAATGAGTCTTTAATCGTCAGATTTGAATCACTAGATGGCGAGATAAAGTCATAAATGTGTTCCAGCCAGAATTTTTAATTTAAAAAAATTTGGACGTTTTAGCAATTATCACGTGAACTATCGATGCTAGAGACATGAACTAACCACCATTTGACTCGTTTTGATGAGACGTATAAAATTAAAAAATTACCATAAATAATTTCTAAATCTGTTAATATCAATAACCTGCCTGTTTTGACACACATCTAAAAAGATAATATAAATAATATAAATATGTATGATTAATAATATGATGAATAAAATGAAAAATGATTGAAAGATTTACATACCATTCTTCTATTTAAAACATTATAAGAGTAATCATTCCGATCATTAGGAAATTGTGATCCTAAAATTACAACTGAATCCAAATTTCTTTTTCTTAAATGATAAGTTAATAAATTTACAATTGAATCACTTTTACCAATAATCATTAAATGACATGCATCTGAATCATTTAAATTTGAATCATTTAATTTTTCAATTAGAATTTGTTTATATGACCATGAATTATGATTATTAAATAATTCTAGAAGTGACTAGAACATTTCCAAAATATTTTTCGCAAAAAACATTCCGTAAAAAATAATGCAAAATAAGGTATGTAGTATATATTCTTTAATATGAGTAGGCCAAGCAATTTTCTCACTATTGGATTCTTGCATTTAGGAGTCAAAATGGATGATAACAACATTACTATCAATTGTCTTATCGCTCCTATAGGCAAACTTATGAATATTCTATGCATTAAAGTAATGCAATCGATTACAATTCACAGAGGTGGTCATTATAGTAATCTTGAGACTGCAATTCAAAGTAGATTAGGGGCACCATTTAATAAAATTCCTCTCAAAATTTGTATAATTTGAGCTGGAAGCATTATTGAAATGGAAATGGACATGCATGATGATTTTATCAATATTTTTACTGAGGAACCTAAAGCAGAGCACTTCCATTTCACTGTTTATCCCAAATAATTTCTGTATCATGTAGCGATATATTTGTAATTTTTATGTAATGTAAGTTATGTTCTTGTTGTAAATCTTGAAAATGTCATGTGTAATGATGTAATATAATCGTCTGATAATTCTGTACTACACCTTAATTGCATATATATTGGTGCAGCAGGTTCAGCAGCAGATACACGCCTGATCACAGCAGGTGTTGTGGCAGGTGTTTTTTTTTAGCAGTTGTTTTTGGTAATAGCAAAAGCATTATGAATCGATACAAAAAAAAAATTAATCATTTCTCTCCAAGCACTGAAACAAAAAATACTTTTATATCCATAAACCAGCTTTACCTGTAACTGCAGTCAAGTGCATATTTTTTTTGCAAGTACAAACACATACATATAAAAACCATGTCTTCACAAGCTTCTTCACCTGCTTCACCCATCTCAATAACAGAAGAAATTTCCACTAGAACAATGTCGGACGTGGTTAAAGATTTTAATACACAGGAGCTTATCGATTATTTGGGAAGGAAAGACTTGAAACTTGATGAAGATGATATTAAAATTCTTTGTAAAGAGAAAATATCTGGTCTTGCCTTCCTTGAGTTAACAGAAGAAAAATTTTGCAGTATTGGTTTTACATTAGACCAGCAACAATACTTGCAAAATTTATCGAAGGTCTCAGCCAGAAGCTACAAAACTATTCCTCGCTTAAAATTCTCAACAACTTAAAGAAAATGTTACATAAAAATAAGGTGAACAGGGAAGATATAACAAACATCAAGCAGTTTACTCCTGGTAAATAATTAATTAATTTTCAAATTGACTAGATAGCTATATTAACTTTATTTTTCTCTTTAGTCTTCGAGGAGATTAATGATGATGATAAGGCATTTGAACACAACACTGCATGGAGGACATTATCTTAAAACTTTTGAATGTAGAAACTATGACTGATGCCAATGAGGTGACGCGCTGTGAATTTATTTCATCAATTCTCTATGCATCCATCACTATAGTTAAAAAACTTACCTACCAAGATATATTTATAGTATTTCAAAAGGATGTTTCCAGTAAGGATGCGACAGGTCGTGTAGACTACGTAATCAAAAGTTTGGAAGATCTCCTTTGTATTACTGAAGGAAAACTGCGTAATATTAAGATTGGATATGCCCAGGTAAGACTGTTTGTCTTCTCAGTCTATTAGCTTTGAAACAAGACTAAATGGTGATGTATTTTATCTCTTAGAATCTGGCACAGCTTGAAAGTGCGTTTCAGACAAATAAAAAGAAATGGACTGCGGATCAAGCATTTGGGAATAACTATTTTGACTATATCTATGGTATTATGACTATGGGTATGAGTGGCATTTTATCATATATACTCCTGATGGTATATATTCTACGAGTGGAAGCAAATATCAAATCAATTTAACAAAATCTTCTGTCAAAAAAAATCCCAATTTACTTCAAAACGATGTTAAAAGGGTAATAGGTATAATTGTTGGGCTGTTAAAGGATAAGGTTAGTGTAAATAGTTCTCCAACTAGTAAGAGGGCTAGGATCAAAAAAATTATCAAAAAATAATATGTATTACAGGTGCAATCCCAAACAATGTATTTATTTTCACATGTATTAATAAAAAATTTTCTTGGAGTATTGCAATTTTATTACTTAAACACATAATATAAATAAAATAATTTCATGGATCATATTATATGTACTACATTTAATGCTTTTAGAGAGTCCTGGCCTGATATAGGTACTTTCATGTAGGATATTTTAACTGGAAGAATTTGTGAATCACTTTTATGCTCAGAATGTCACGAACCTGTTGCATGTACAATTAAAATTTACGATGAAAGTAACCAACGGATTTATTAATAGATCCTCTAAAAATAAAGTAGGATAGAATATGGCCCACATCCATCTTGCCACCAATATATGAAGCTTCATTTATTATAACTGTTTGAAATAATTTGCTTTTGAAAAGAGACTTTTAAAAATGCAATTTATAGCAGTTTTTTATTATTACATTATAGCGTGAATAACATGAAAAATAAGTACAAATTATTATTATGTTTTTCTATACTAAATTCTACTTGAATATCATTATTACCTTTTTTTATATATGTTATAAAAATAATTTTTTCCCTTCTACTACTATAGAATATCAGAGTGTGTAACAGATAATAGAAAAAATTGTTCATTTTGATAAACAAAAAGTCCCTCCTTTTTATGATAACTTCTAGGAGTAACTGAATTCCCAATGTTTTCTGAAAGATTTGTAATTGCACTAATTAAGGTTGCTGGAAAAACTAAGGGATTTTGGCAAGTTGGCGAAATGTCAAAATAGCAAAACTTTGCTGAAACTATATGAAAGTCTTATTAAAAAGTTGGCGAAACTCTGGAGAAAAACGAAACCTGACAAAACTTATCACAAGTTGAAAAGTGAAAAATCAGGCATCAATCAGGCACCAATCAGTCACCAATCAACTACCTGATTGGTGACCGATTGGTGCCTGATTTTTCACTTTTCAACCTGTGTATTATAAATGCCAAAACTGCTGAAACCTTGCTGAAACTATAATAAAACTATAGTAAAATCTTAGAGAAACTAATATTAGAATTTTGGAGAGGTTTAGGCAGGCAACCTTAGTACCAACAAGTATCTGTAATTGTAGTAATGAGTGAATTATTATTATATTTCAAATCTTCTGAAAGTTGTGCAATCATCTTAACGAGTGACTTATTAATATTTAACATGTACTGATGCTTAGCCAATAGTAAACGTTGCTATTCCAGCTCCATATATACAATTTTCAAGTAAGTAGTTTTTCCCAGGATAATCTCGGGCATTCATCTTTACTATTATCTCATGGTCTTTTACTAACTTTTTTACATCATTCCAAGCTTCTTTATCAAAATATAGATGTACATGTGCATGGCATGCATGACTGGACGTATTTGTCCCAGAAATGCTTTATTTCCCATTAACCATAATTAAGTGCTATTAAATAGAAAGTCAAGCGTCACCATTGATTCAACAATTCATTCCAAAAATCAATATTCTTTAACAACATCTCATTACTGAAATGGTTATAGGGCAACATTAGCAATTCCCTAATAGGCTCTCAGTGTAATAACATAACGTAATTTCTTGTAGATAAATTTTGAACAATAAATTTTGAAGGAAAGTAAAAATTGCAAGTTATTTTACGACCATCTCATGTTGCTACCTCCTCGTTATATACTATCTTGGGATGGTCAAAAGCTACAGAAAAAATTAATAGAATGATTAGTATTATAAAAAGTTAAAGCGAAAGCCACGAGGACAAATGAACATTATACAAACATTGAAAAATTGTATACTTACTACACTTAGCTATAGAGTCTTAGTCTTCATATTTTTTTGTACAACATATATAAGCCTCCTCTTTTTCACTTTCTTGATAATTAATCGTAAAGGGCCCATCTTTATCAGGCGGGATTTCACTCTGTGTGATTGATACATAATTTCTCGCAATTTCAGTTACTTTTATAAGATTGGAGTTAGTACGAAGATAACAATCATATCATGCTACTCTGTCAAGACAGATTCAGAGCTCTGCAGAGTTTTGTAAAAGCTTAACTTTTAATCGACTGGATCATTTTTTTTTATCAGTCTTTTTTAAACCAGATCTTTTCTTTTTTTAAGATTAGATCTTTTTTTTAATAATAATATTTTTTTCAGTCTTTTTTTTCAATCAGATCTTTTCTAATAATAACTAGTTAATTAAATAAAATACAGTAAATTTTTTAAAAAAAATTTTACATTGAAAATATATCAATCAACAAAATTATTTTTTTCAGTAATTTGTTTAATTTAACGAAAAAAAGTTGCATAACATTTTGGTGGTAAAAATTCAGTTAACGTTAACATATCATTTTCAATACATTTTCAATCCAGTTTTATTTAATTAATTTTTTATTAATAAATTAATATAAAATTACCAATTTCAACAATTTTAATGATTAACATGAATTTTACTGACATCATTTTATATAACTAATATTTTGGCAATGAAGGAAAAAAAAATCATATATTATTAAGAAAAATATTTTTTTTTTTATTATTAAAGTTGGACAAACTTACCAATTTTGTTCATCTAAAGACTTTAGAAAAAAGAAATAGTAAAATTGAAAATTTTATATAAAATATGAAACTTTATTTATACTGTATATATTTGTATACATTTAAAAAATGTTCAAAAAAAAAACTATTCTTGTTATTGTTATATCATATTTTGAGATATTATAAATTGCTACCCCTCTTTTTTTTTCATTATCTTTTTTTTCGTCAGCTAACAATATTATATATACATAATATATACTTTCATCTGCTAATGATGGTGTGGTGAAAATCACCTGCGATGGAATTTAGCAATGCCCTATAAAAAAATAGATCACTGCAGAATAATAAAGTATTTTCATCATATAAGTATAATTTATTTTTTTTATAAGTACGTTTCAGCTTCTTATAAGGCTGTTTTTATTTATCATTTGGTTTTTCTTCTTGATTATGATTGTCATCTTAATCTGATTTTCAGATAATTGTTTTTTTGATCTAGTGCATTTTGGTAATTGCATAGTTAATTCATTATCTGAACAATTAACTGAATCTTTAGGAGGATCATCATTTTTGTGATCATCTATTGTGATTACTAAATTATTATTAATGTTACTTGTTAGAATCTTTGTATTTAGAAGTGGATGATTTTACTGGTGAACTGGTCAAGGATTGAGAATTTGAAATCTTCTTTTTGTAAATGTGTTATTAACTGATTTCATAGATGTTGATTGTGGACTAAAAGTTGAGGTATTTTGTTGAGAAGATTTGACATCAAAATCAATAATTTTCACGTCAACTTGTGCATAGGTTGTTTCAGTATTTTTTTCACTGGATAAATAAACAGCTTCTAAAAACTCTCCAATGTAGAAATTTGTGTATTTGTTCCACTTATCCTTAATGGATTCAAACCATTTGGAGCTTTTAGAGTATCCAATTTCAAAGTGAACAGAATGAGTATCTTTGTGAAAAGATGAAAAAATTGAAGATCGTGTTTTTACAAAATTCATATCCTCAAATGATGTCATATGGAGTGGTACAAAAGTAGTACAAATATGCATAAAGGGTTTAGTAGAAGGAATTGTTGCAGGATCCCATTCTAAATGTTGACCATTTGAATCTATTTTGGGATCCAAAATGCAGGCCATCTTCACAGCTAATTGTTTAAACAAATATATATAAAAAATTACTATTAATATATGCTATATCATTAAGATATTGACTTTTAACAAGTACTTACCATTACTTGCTGACCATCTAATGTAAATTTTCCACCAAGAAGAACAAGATCTCTTTCACTAAATACTTCATTGTACTCATTTTAAGCATTTGTAAATTGTTTTATTTCAAAAGTATAATTTTGTGATGAAATCTTCTCTCTGTAAATTGCTTCACCAAATAAAGTTTTGTCAGATACTTTTAAACAAGTAATAAGACCAATAACTATAAGAGTAGAAGTCATTGTATAAAGAAAGTATTGAGAAAAAGAATTTTTTGAATGGAAATTTTTTTTTTTTTTTGTAAGAAAAATTTTAAGGTGAAAAAAGTAGATTATCATGATGATCTAAATAAATAATGAAAAAAAGAGATTTACATTTTTTCAAAAGAAAAAAGAATAGCACAAAAAAATTTTTTGCATTTTATCAAAAAAAAAATAATAATAATAATAATGAAAGAATAATAAAATTGTTCATAAATTTTATATTTACAAATACAAAAAAAAATAAAAATTTTTAGGATTTATTAGTAATCTATTATTTTTTTTATGTTATTAATCTTTTTTTTTAGGATTTTTAAGATTCAATTTTTGACTTCGTACATTTGTAACAAATCATGCTGTAACGTTCAATCCTGTGGTGTGATTGTAACCACATTGAGTTGTTACCAAATTCTATTCCTTTATTCAATAATAAAATATACTATATAATAATTTCATACTTGTAATATTACTCTATCATAAAGACATTCTATCAATCCTTAAGTTTATTAAGGAAGCACTTTTTCATTATAAGAAAAAGGCAAAAAAAATCGAAATATAATAGTAAGGGTAAAAAGGGTTATTATTCCTTGATTGAAATTCACTCTTATTTATACTATTATTCAGCATTTTTTTCATTCATTGATATTTTCTAAGCCTCAATTTTCCTAAGCCTCATTTAATATTTTATTTTATTTTATTTTATGGACACTATGCTATTCACTAGTAAGGTTGCTTGCCTAAACCTTTCCAAAATTTTATGATTAGTTTCTCCAAGATTTTACTATAGTTTTATTATAGTTTCAGCAAGATTTTGGCAGTTTCGGCATTTATAATAAGTTTCGTCAGGTTTCGCTTTTCTCTAAAGTTTCGCTAACTTTTCAATAAGACTTTCATATAGTTTTGGCAAAGTTTTGCTATTTTGGCATTTCACCAACTTGCCAAAACCCCTAGTTTCTCCAGCAACCTTATTCACTAGAATATATAAATGATAACATTGAAAAACTTTGCCTAAATCAGAACCCTGAGGTGGAAGCCTTGAAATTTGCTCTTTAGCATTTTCTTCATCTATTGATATTTCTAAGCCTCAATTTTCCTAAGCCTCGTTTAATATTTTATTTTATTTGAGCTATATAGTTTAAAATGTTTTATAATGATTATTTTTAGAAGGTATAATTATAAATAAATACCTTTAAATATCGCTATATTTAACCAAATAAACTTTTTTTTTTATTTTAAATTATAATTACATAATTGTGGATTTAATAATAAATTTTTACACCACAGGACTGGGTATCAAAAAAAAAATAATAATAACAAAATTTTTCTTCATATAAAATTATTACTAATGCTTTTATAATTAGGATTGATTTGCTCGAATTGACCATCCAAGATGGGCCTATTACTATCATTAAAATTTGGATCATTGTAACATCCAGTGTGCAACACGATAAGATCCCCCTATTTCCTCTGTCATCAATTTACAGAGTTGCCATGTCGAATAGGCATTCTCATGGTCAAACAAATGAATAAACGAACGAACGAACAAATAAATGAACAAACAAATAATCAACAACATAATTTACAAACAACATAATCAACGAACAACATGCAACAACATACAACAACATTCTTGGTTCACAACATAAATAACGTTAGTAATATAAAACATCAAGCAACATAAAATTAAATTTAACTTCTCTAAATTTTTCCCAAATTCTATCCACTTTTACCTTTAATTTCAAACTTTGATAGCTCTCACTACGGATTATTACTTTTCAAAAGGGTATATTTAATTCATCTTAAAATTTTTATTTTATTCAATTAAAATTAATTAAGCGAACATTAATTAAAGTTTAGGGCGAACCTATTACCTTTAATTAATATTATACTTTATTAACAAATAATTAAATTTAACTTATATTTTTATTGAGTTATTTCGAAACTAATTGACTAACTGTGGAATTCGCTTTGAATTCCGCTCTCTATTTAAACAAATTTTATGATACTTTCTATTCTAATATGTGCTATCTATATACTATCTTTTATATTCTTTTTACATATTATCTTTGAACTATCTTTATGCTATCTATATTTTAAATACGCTATCTTTTAATATGCATGTATCTTCTATTTTAATATGTTATCTTTTTATATATGTTCTTTTTAATATGTTATCTTTTATGTTCCATCTTTATATTATCTTTTATATTATCTTTTTATATTATCTTTATATTATCTTTTTTTATATTATTTTATGTTCTTTGATCTTTCTGACATTATTTTATATATTCTTTTAATTCGCTATCTTCCCACTTTATGTGTTTTGCTTATAATCCATTTTTTGTGGCTTATAATTATTCTTTCTAATTGTTCTTATTGTTAAAGATTGCTAAGCCGCAATTGATCAACTCTAATTATTCTATTGGTTCTTTGTTAATCATTCGATAAATATTACATCATGTAGATCATTACTCTTCCTAAATGTTTATCCTTTTCGGCTAATCATTTATCCATCTATGCCAATTCACAATCAATTTGTTCGTTCTTAATATTTGGCAATTATATTTGGTGATGAATTTTATCATCTTTTCATACTTGATATTTGACTGTTTACAATGAACTGATCAAAAAAATAAGAATAATGGTGTTAATTATGCAAATAATAGCTTTTAATGCTTTATAATAAAAATGTTTTTACAATTAAAAATAAGCTTTTTTATTTTGTATTTTTTTTTTTAAAAAAAAAATAAAAAATGGATTTCTAATCACCATCAATTGGCTGATTTTTTTAACCTTTTTTTTAAAAAATGCCTTTTAAATAATTTTCAATAAACAAGTGTATTTCTAATAAATAAATCTTAGGTTAACTGGCTGATCTTGTTTTTAAAAAATAAATTTTCTTCATTACGAATTATAAAAAATGGCCTTTAAATTGACCAATAATTAAATTAAAATATATTAATTTTCATTATTTTCATTCTTACATACTGGTATATGTTTTTGCATTAGGGTATTTATTAATAATATTTATTGCTTATTAAAATTCAAGCTATCCAATTTGTTACAATTTATATTGCATTTTAAATTTTCAGATGATAATGAAAATTCAGATTTTTATATTATTGTTACACAATTTTTAAAAAATCTATATCTCAAAATTAAACAAATTTATCAATAATATCAATTATGAAACTTTTTGTTACAAATTTATCACCTGGTCAGTTAAAAAAAATATTATTATTACAAATGAATTCTTTAACTTCATAATATCTGGTCAAAAGCTTCAGTGCTGGTAAATTTAAAGTAAATTAATATTAGTAAAGGACAGATATTGCTATAGTTACTATACTTTTGCTTTGGATAGTAGTAATTTTGAGTGAAACTAATAGTAAAATTTTTTGGCTGCCTTTAACCTTTTCATATATATTCCAAGTTCCCTCCAACATGTTAATCAACCCCTTTCATATGAAGTTTCTGTTAGACCTTTTAAAATTAAAGGAATACTGATTTCATTGTTAGCATACCAAGAAAATTTTTTGACGTTAAATCAATCAAAAGTGTTATACTGTACTTTGCAGAAACTATAAAATTTTTCCTGATGTTAACCAGTTTATATTCCTATAATGATATATCACGAAACACTTACCATTAAGTAACGGTAAAAATAATGCACATCATTGAGTGTCATTACTATATTATTATATGAATCTTAAAGACATCGTATTATGATTGTTGAGAATTTAATGCTGTATTGTAAAATTAATGCTACATTGTTATCATAATTGTTATTAACATATATATTTATTATATAAACTAGAGTCATACCCTAGGGCCGGTGACCGGCCCTTTCTAAGAGTATGATATATACCATAAATTTTAACACTTATTTGCAGAAACAAAAGTATTGATAAGATATAATTTGAAATAAATAAATAATTTATTTTATTTTTTTTTTCATCTAAAATATTTTAATTTGTTTTTTACGTTTTGATTTAATAATCTTGTAATTGGCCTTAAAAGAAGAATTTATAAAAAACAATTTTTTAAAAAAATTTTTTTCGTTTCTACTTTCTAACCAAAATAAAATAATTTAATAAAATTTATTTCACATGATTAAAACTTAATATTGTAGGATATTTCAAATCAAATTTGGACGATTCTATGTCCACATATTATGTTTTTAATAAATCAATTCATGTAATATATAATTTTTTTATAAATCAATTCATGGAATATATATTTTAATAAGAAAATTCATATAATTTTTCTTTAATAATTAAATTCATATAATGTTTTTAATAATTAAGTTTGTATTATATTTTTAATTATATTTTTTACTAATAAATATTTTTTTAATAAATAAATTTAATAAATTCGGATATATAATTTTTCTTAATAAATCAATTCATGTAATATATATTTTAATAATTAAATTTGTATAATGTTTTTTAATAATTACTAAATTTGTATAATGCTTTTTTTAATAAATAAACTCGTATAATGTTTTTTAATGAATAAATTTAATAAATTCGGGTATATATTTTTTTTTAATAAATTCGGGTATATATATTATTTTTAATAAAATTCAGATGTATTTTTTTTTAATAAAATAAAATTCAGATATATATATATTTTTGGATATATATATTTTTTATATAATTTGGATATATGTATATTTTAATAAAATTCAGACATATTTTTTTTTATATTTGATCAGGTTCATTTAAGAATGTTATTCGCTTTATATATTTAATTTCCTTCAATTCCTATTATAATTAATCCCAAAAATTAGCCTCCTGAACAATGTATACTGTACGAATAATAAATATTTCCTTGATGTTAATATGTAGTTAGCTCCCAGATTTTTGGCCAGCCAAATTGACAATTCATAATTCCTTGATGTCAATATATGGTTAGCTCTTGATTTTTGATCAACCAATTCGGATCATGCTGCAGATCATGATTAATTTTT